CATATATGTCAGTATGTCAGGGTATTATTAGAATATATCGCAAAAAAGGCTTCGAGGAAAATACTCATACATCACACCGACATTATATAATCTAAGATAACACCCAATAAAATTTCCATTTCGTGTATCTACGTTTTAAAATAGGGACACAATATCTGATTCCATTTCAACTTTCTTTTGATCTCTTTACTCATCTTTATCGTGTTTAAAACTAATTCCAACTGGTAACAACGAATAGTCTGTTATTTATATAAATAAAATTATGTAACTAATTGCTCTTAATAAAACAATTTGAGGTTAATAATCTATTGTCAGCTTTCACCAATTCACACTTTCACATTTAATATGAATTCTACAAATAGAATTTTATGTTTTTCTAGTGCACTACATGAACGTTGTCAAATAATATTCGTATATTGAATCCGGGTCATGTAGTGTTGCGTACGTTAATGCTAAATGGGTCACTGGGCGAACGACGATCGTCGAGAATAGCAATTGTTGCCATGCCATCTCCACCGGAGACAGTTGATATACGTCTCCATAGAGAGTACACTACAACTAAATGAATGTATTTACTGGCCACTATACTATCTTACAATAAAAACGTATATTGCACAAATGATTGCAGATATCTAAAGGCAGATTAGACTGTGTGAAATATTATACCACCAAAAACATTGACATGTAAATTGTTGCCTAGTTGAGTGGCAACAACAAGTGACTAGCACTGTCAAAAAATTATTAGATCACATGTAGAGCATGCTTTAACTCTACACGCCTTTATTTTATAGGCTTCCACTTCACAAAATCTACTTCTTATTGTGTAAAACAATGTGGTACGGCCTTTTCACAACCGTAAATGGAAATTTTGGATATCACAATTTGAAAACTAATGCGAATGCTAATGCAACTACGCGTATTCAGTTTTATCTTAATTTGGTGAATACCTTACATGACCATTACTTTTCATTTCTCAACTCTACAGGCATGTACTTGATCGACTCTTCACTTTATTCCAAATATATGGATCAGCCATTTCACAATCATCATATGACCATTATATGAAAAAAAAAATCACCGTTCATTACTTTTCTATTATATCATAATTTTTATTTGTAGAAAGAAAACGGTCAACCCACATTTAAATAAAATGTATAGTTTGTTTTAGCAGGGTTTACAAGCCCAAAAACACATTTATTAAATGTATTTTTTTTAACATTCACGAATGCGAATACGAATATCTACTGCTGCATCTGAAACTCGCTAATGTAAATAGTAATGCAAATGCGAATGTGAATGCGAATGCGAATGCGATTGCGAATGAGAATGCTATTGACGATCTATCTTTTCATCATGGCGTAGCCCTTGGTAGTCAGAGAGGACCGAGTAATATGCACAAAACATTCGTAAAAGCCTTGCAAATGCGAATATTCGTCACACGAGATCTGATAACCTTTTGACTTGGCACTGCTTTACAACAGTTTTTTGGAATTAATTTGTTTTTGTATTAATTCTTAGATGTATTTTATGGCCTCTGATAAAGGCAATTTTCGAGTATGTAGTCTTTCATATTTTACTGACATCGACTAGATTCTGCAACTTACACCATTGCGAATTCCAATAGCAATACAAAGTTTCCATTAGTTAAAAATTGAAAATGTGTAGCCAAATGAGCATAATAATATTATTCATTTAAGAATGATAATTATTTAAATATTGTTACAGTGAGAAACCTCACGAAAGCCCCATTTTGCGTAAAAGAGGTTGTGGAATGACATTTTATATGAACTTGAAACACAAATTCACTTAATCATTCTTAAGAAATCGACACCGTAGCTAGCGAAATATATGATGATGATGAAAAATCAAACTGCAATATTGGATATCAGTGACAATACTGTAAAAAAATACCAACCCTAAACATTCTTTAAGTGATTGCGAGAAGCCTTATGAATCACCTTTCAAGTAATCATTGATTGATACAATATGTATTCAGTATGTTCAGCAATCAAAATCAATTAAAGCCAATTCGCTCTTCAGAATACATCAACGATAAAAATAATTGAAATGGTAATATGGTAAAAAGATAATAACTGAATCCGTAGGCTAATTTCTTTATTATAAATAAACACGTTTAGCGTCGGAGTAAATTAACGCTCAAACTGTATTCAAACAGTGTATTGCTCAAACAGTCTTAGTCAAAATTCATATTTATTTTGCTTAATATATAGACTAAACGAAGTTTCAGTTACAATGGGGTGATACGGGAAGAATATCTACCTCTAGAAGTTAGGTTTAACCCTGTTTAATTAGGGATTTTGACTTACAATTCTAAATGCAATTTTAAAGTTCCGACATCAATACAAAAGCTTTTTTTTTTTGATAAAACGAGATTTAATCCTTCTATTTTGGTTTCTGGAGTCAAGGTAAATAGAAAAAAATAACATAAAAGTCGTTACAATGTTATTTTATCGTATGGTCTTTTGATGTTGTTTCTGACGTTTTAATGTCGAGTAATCATATTTAATGATATGTAAAGATGCAATATTCAAATAGCAGCTAGAAGCTTAATTTATCGGGAGTTACACATAATATTGCCACAATTATGAGAACACGTTCTAAACAATAAAATCGTGTATACGATGGAAAGTATTTTAGATTTATTTATTCGAAATAATAATCATCAGTTAATTTCCAATGTGCAGGGACAAAGTCTTTTTCTCGGGATGAAATCAAACAAGGAGAACGGATCCAGGGCCTAGAGTGGGTTGGTGGATGTTAACAACTGAAATTGCAGCTGCAACCAACGGTTTAATATGCGTGCCGTACGGAGGAGCTCTATATGATTAATTTTTGGTTGCAAACTCAAAGATTGGCTCGTCAAGCTACTTAGAGGTAGAATATTGTGAATTGATTGAAAAAGTATGACATATTTATTGAAAATATTGACGAGACTTCGTTTTTGTAATAAAATTGTAGTCTAAAATCCATCTATGCCATAAACATTACCATGATTTACCTTTCATCATTTCACATGTTTATGGAGATAATTTATTTAATTTAATTGCTTAAATGAGGTGAAATAAAGATGGAAATATTAAAATTGATGTCTACTTTAGATATCAGAAAGTGTTGAGTAGTTTATAGCACGAATGAAATTTGATTACATGTGACTGAGACGTGGTTGAGATTGATCCGTGAAGTGACGTAAATGGATAAAGTAATGAGTCACGTGTGGATGAAAGTGGTAACTATGTTATATAAATGAGAGGTAAAAGACTATCGTATGATCATGCAATAAAAGGAGATGCAGATAGATTAAAGAAAGACGAAATCCCGATAATGATATCACTAAGTAAGGAGTAAAATTTGACATAACCATTGCTCATGTAAAAAAATATTTTTTTTTTTAAGTATATTCAAACAAACAAACAAGCAACAATATTTTAATATTTTTTATTTCGTCAATAGAAACACAGCATCATTAGCTCTAGTATAATAAGATAGAACAAAGAAAGAATATAAGATTACATTACAAACGACCATTTGGTTGCTTGAAATAATAAATCTAATAATCTGTTAATGGTTCCTGGAAAAAATGCTATATTAATGACAAAACTGAAATCTAAACACAAACGAAGAGACAAATGTTTAAATCTAAAGAGATTTTGCTGCCACATCATTTTGTATTCTTGGCAAACATCCAGAAAATTGAAGTGGCATCTCTATTTTATCTAAAGTTTGTTCCCTTATCCGGTGTAGCTTACGTCAGTTTCGACCTCATTTTTAAACCATTAAATCTGGATACGTTTGAAAACTATACTGGTGAAACTATAAATCTTATTTCTAAAAACAACTGATATTACAAGCTTTTTGAATTATATTTCTCGTTGTGATTTATATTGGGACTTGTTACTAATTCTGTTTTCATTTTATATCAAAGAATATAAAATGATCGCGAATTTCACTAGAAAATATGATTTAAAGGACATATATACTCTGGACGTCTCTAGAAAATTCTCATTAGTTTTAGAAGGACTTGTGTAGGATAATACTTCGTATATTTCAGTATCAGCCTTCGTGATACCATTATTACGATATAGAATATTATAATGCAGCAATTTATATTCACCAGTAAGATAATCTACACAACAATGCTTACATTCTAGCGATCTCAAACGAGTACATCACGACTATAAGTTTGCTTTTCATTTAACTTCAATTATGTTTACTCTTTGATTATAAATAAAATACTTGGTCCCAAAGATTATGTAATAGAGAAATAGTATTATGTAAGTCTAAGTTCAACAATGTTTATAAATCACCAATTAAAATATTTGGGATAGATAGTAATTAAACCTATAAAATTTATATGGCTTACTTCAGATAGTGTTGTGATAAAACTGTCAATAGAGAAATATATACTTATTTGCTTTATAACAATAACTAATTTATATTAATTCTTTAAAAATAAACTGTAAATTTATTGAAACTGGAAATAAAATCGAAATGTTGATGTTGTTTCATCATTATCCCTATAAAGTTTCTACTGCTGTGGTATGGGCCTTCAATGTGAGGAATCTAATAGTGAGAACAGCAACAACCCACCATACAAGCACCTTGCGGATTAGTGCATGACTGCTCGCTTATGCAGCCGTGAATAAAGACTTAGCGTGCCTTCCGAAGCACGAAGAAGATCGAAAAATTAAGGATTTCGTTCTATAATTAGTCCTTGCGATAGTTATCTATCCTCAGCATCGCAGACCTAACGCCTCGCATTATTCTTTTGAGTTTCATGATTTATAGAATATTTTGATTGCTAATTCAATTTTGCTCTGCTGTTACTCGTAGTTCCTTATCATATAGGAACAAATATTATGTATCAATATTTTTTAAATGCTTTAATTATGTTGTACAAATTATTTTTAGGCAACAGTGAAATAATATGAATAGTAGGTATGACACTATCATATACATAAATCTGTTTTGGTTGGTTTTAGGCAAGTGCTGTCACATATAAAGAATATCCCCGAATTGATCTTGCTGGGACATGAGTCGCCAACAGGGAGGAGGTTGCCAATCTTTTCGATAATGGTGAAGCATCCGAGAGGGACGTTCCTCCATCACAATTTCGTGTGCGCAGTCTTAAATGATGTCTTCGGCATTCAAGCGAGGGGTGGCCTTAGTAGCAACCTTAATTATGGCTCAGATATTCTTGGGATTGATGATCAGTTATTAAAGGAGTACGAGAAGTTATTGGATGTGGAAGCGTAAGTAAATAAACTTTCATTTAAAATCTGAAAAATATCTGAAGACTTCATTATTAAAAAACAAACTAAATTGAAGCCGGATATAATTACTACTATTTATTTACTTAAAATATTTCGAACATATTTGACGGAGAAAGTATAGTCGTCATTGATATAATAAAGGAAAATTATTCTCCTACAATTGTAATGCCCCAGGTATCGAAAACGAGACCTTAGGCAAATTGAAGATTGAACTCGGAGTTCATAAAAATGTTATATTTAATGTTATGTAGGTTAAGATATATTTTTTGTTAATACAATCATCATACTTATCTTACAGACAAAGAGAAGTTGCTCGAGTCCGTAAAATGAGTGACGTCAAAGCACCTGAGGTGCCAATACACAATGAACACTTGAGACCAGGTTTTTGCAGAGTTTCGCTGCCTTTCTTCATGTCAGAAAGCGAGCTGGCCTTTGTTCTAGAAGCATTGAAGATGGTGGCCACAGAGGGATGGAAAATACTACCCCAATACATAGTTAATCCTCAGACTGGACAATGGAAACACCATACTTGTTCCGTATTAAGGGACAGGAAATCTTTATATACTTTAAAATTCAATGATGGTAAAATCATTTCCCATGAAAGAAGAGTTTCTGGTAAGTTATGGTTATGAATTGACACAAGAGATAAAAATATAAAGTGTAAGTATTCATTTAATCTATTTTTTCCACAGGTCCAGGCATATTTCCTCAAACATACACTGAGTGTTTGCAAACTGCAAGAAATTTATTTAACAGAGCTAGAAAGCTAGCCATGAAATGTACATCAGCTGAACCAGAAATATCATTTAATCCACGTATAGACTACCTTAGATGGTTTATGCTGCCGAAGGAAGCACATGATCTCTTACTTGGACGTTCAGCAAACGTGAAACACATTGTTCCATTTGATCCTTCAGGTTACACTGGTGCACGGAAAAGTCTACATATATCAAGATCATCCATAACTTCTTCGCCTATTCTAGGCTCCTCACCAAGACATTACAGTTTATCTGCAATTGATGACTGCCAAATATTTAGATTGAAGCAAAAACAAAAATTCTACTCTAGAGAGTCAAGTCTCAAAGAAACGCACAAAGAAGATGTGGTTACAAAACAACCAGTAAAATTTGCTGTCGGTGAACAAGTTTCACCACTGCGTATAATACCTCAATGTACGCGACCATTATTAGTACGGTCTAGGTGTTATAGTTTAGGTTCAGATAGCGTGCCAGCGCAATTTAACTCACGACCAAAAATAGATTTGAGACTAAAAGATGCTACTTCCAATAATGATACTGATAAATCTGGAAGTTATTGTAATTGCGGAAGTCAAACAGATCTTCAATCTTTGGATGATCCAATGTTGTCACCTGAAAAGGCATTCATCTTTAGTACACAAAGTAGTACATCTGTATCAGATTGCAGTCAAGCCGGGCGTTCGTCACCCACAACATCATTAGCATCTCAAACATCTGAAGATATACAAGCTTATGTGAAAGAATTAACAAAAGAAATAGCCACCGAAATAAAGTCTGAAATTCGTGAAGTTATTTCAAAAGTTGATGATATTTTGGAAAATTCTGATATGCTCGAGCAATCAAATGCGAGTATTGTATCTACATCTAGTCAAAATGAAAGGAATTCTGTATCAGTCATAGATGTAGCTGAGTACTTGATGGGTATGTCAAAGGAAATGGCTTCGGAAGTCAAACATGAAATTCGTGAAATGGTAAGCCAAGTTGATGAAATGATATCTCCAGATTACACTGGCAACAATTCAAGGAGAAGTTCTCCATCGCAAATTGGTAGAAGAAGAATTGGATCTGGTCCAGATTTAGGATTGGACTTGAAGAAAGCTTCGCATTGTCTGAAAAAATGCCCAACTAGTCCAATACTTCCGTCTCAATACGTAAATGCAGATGAGTTGTGTTTAAAGTGTTCACCAACCAACCAGTCGCCGAAGTCAGTTCAATGCACTCCATCATACGAAGCATCTGGCCCAAACAGTATTTCTTTCAATTCCAGTGAGACTTCTACTCCAGACACGATCATACAAGTGGTGTCCACTTCACAAAATTCACCGAATTTGCCTAAATCATTAAGTTCCAACAAGCTCTCAGACGACGATGCAATTTGTAATGATGTCAATTGCAGACATTGTTGTATGAAAAAAAATTGGTGCCAAAATCCTTCGATTAGTTCTCAAGATAGTGGTATAAATATGACTTTTACTGAAACTGACTCTTATTCTGACCTTGGTAAGTTTAAAAAAAACCTTATAATGTATTTAAAAATCACTTAGATTTTTAATTAAAAAAATATATATAATTTTATTCATAGTTAAATGGCGGACTTCCTCAGATCCTACAACAAATAAGGCGAAAAAATTACAAGGAAGGCTCAGAATTTGTCAGAAATATGAGAAAAGTGAAGTACCTGATATAATTGAGGGTGTTCCGGTGTGTTCTGGAGATCACGTCAGACAAGCCAAGAAATATGACAACAGAAGTGACTCAGGAAAGGTGGTTTTCCAAATACCCGATGATGCAGATAGACAAAGCGAGTAAGTTAAATCAATCAAGTATAATCATTAACATACAAGTAGCTGGTCACTTCATAAAATAATGCTTATATGTGTCATTGTTACTCTTAATTTGGTAAGATTAGTTTTTTGTTTTGACATAGTGTTATCTATTTAGAAGCTGGCAACTCCTGAATATTTGAATTAGAGTGCTAAATCCTAACCCCAATATTTGCTAAACGTAAATTTATGCAATCGACTTATTGTATTTATCAATAAAATTATGAAATTTTAATTATTGTAAATTAGTTGAAAAGAAATTTAATTATCCGTAACTGACATGATGTGTATAGGTGAATAAACTCGGTTAATATCCTCATGTATCTAGAACTTGGCAGAAATCACTGTCAACTGTTATAAGTTAATGATAATAATACGGCGTAGGTGGAGACTAGTTGGCAATTATTCAAAATTTTCGCAAGCCATCATTCATCGGCTTGGCAATTTTTCGTCAGAACAGCTACCGGTACTAAAATTAATAAATGTAATAAAACAATTTCTCGGTACAATATATAAAACTATTCGGTTACCATATGATGTGTAATAAAATTCTCGTAATATTAAGTCTTTATTATCATTAAATCTATACTAACGTAAAGAAGAAAGATTTTTATTTGCATCAAAATGGGTTTGAAATTACTTCATTGATTATATAAATTTTTTCGTACTTAAAAACCTGAAATTACAAATAACTTAAAAACCTGAAATTTTCACATTTTTTGTAAAAAATGTTTATGTTAACAAATGTATCTAAAATATTCGCTTTTGTAGTGAAATTGTATATCGTTTATATAATATATATAATCAGTATCTTATTCGAAAAGTAATAAAATATTACGATATAAAAATCATACCTATTTATTTTCAGAATGCCGTCTGAATTGAAAAGATGTAGTAGATCATCAAATGCGTCATCCAGCTGTTCGGACCGGAGTTCGCGATCTAGCGGTTACGGAACTGATCAACGTAGCATCAGTGAGGACAATTTCTATGAGAGAAGGTGGGTCTTTTATTGATACTATTCACTTTTTGGCACATATGTGCAATTTTCAATTTAAAATTAATTTATCTACACGAAATGTGCTTTAAATTAGCATTAGCAGGGCTTTGATTTTTTTTAACGTATTTATTCGATTTTTAATTTAATAACTTTTTGCTATGCGAGTTCCAAGTTCTTTTGCGTTTCTGTTTCTGTTTTATTATCTACTTTATACTTATAATTTACTTTCTCAATATTTTTAATCTTTTATTTTTTTTTAATTATTACTATTTGTCTTAATTTATAATTTTTCACTTTCTTTTAGGATCAAGTAATGTAACACTAACTAATTTAAATGCGTATTCATTTTTCTATGCTTGTGTATTGTCGCAGTGAGTCCGAATGTCGTCTACTGAAGGAACAATGTGGATATGAGGAAGATGACAGTAGCGCGTGCAGCGATAGCTCCCTAACAGACTTCACCTTCGACGACGAGGGCAAGTGGCACTGCCCACCAAAACACGTGTGGAAGCCTACTGTCGAGGTAAATAGGCCTTCGTAATTAACCAACTGACCACGGCCCAATTGACCCACGAGTAGCTAACTAACTAACTAACCACGACCCAATTAACCCATAAACGCCGCGACCCGACACGGGATTCACGAGATTTTTCGTTATCCAGCCAAAAACTACTATGTCGAGCTACTCTGTGTACTTCGGAAGGCACGTTAATACCCTCCAATCCGCATCGAACCAGCGTGGAGGATTATGGCTCATCCTCCTTAACTACCCATAATGAAGGCCTCAGCCCCTGCAGTGGGGATATAGAAGGGCTGATGATGTTGATCCCTATTATACAGAATATTTTGATTTATATTATTAACGTTTACAATAACATATCTGTTTATTCTTAATAAAACTAATACCACAATATTAAGATGATATATATTGTATTTCATGTATTACAACAAAGAACAAATTATTTCGTATTTTGAATTCATTCAAAATCCGAAAGGAGGCTTTTCTGAGTTCAAGGAGAATCTATGTTTATTTTTTTATGAAAGTGGGTATGTCAATCGATTTTTCTTGAATTTTGAACAAATTTTTATCAAACTACTCGTAACTTTTTACTCACAACTTCGCGTGCTTAAATTATAGCCTATGTCGAATGGGTATTAAGTAGCTTCCCGTAGGTGAAAGCCTCGGAGCCTGTACAATGCAAACAAACAAGCAATCAAATCTTTTCTCTTTCGTTTGTTTGCAACGAATTATCTCCAAAATTACTGGACTGTTTTTAAAAATTCTTTAAAAAGCTACATCATATGCTATAAACGATATTGTAAATATATCCTTGTCATCCTTTCATAATATAAATTGATATCTAAATAAACAGTTCCCTAGGGAACACGCGAGCAAAGCCGCTGGCAGAAAGCTAGTATTTAATATTTTTAGTATATTATAGTTATAAAAAATTTAATATCACTAAAAAATATGAAATAATAACTTTAAAAAGTGATAAATAATACGCATATCAAAAGCGACTCATTCAAGAAAATGCTAATGAAATCAGACGCCTATCATTTAATTATTAAACCTACAGAAGACCTCCGCCCGCCTTCACCTTTATAAATTTTGAGGTAGATTCTACTTTTTAAGTTTTTATTTAAGCATTTTTCTTAAAAATATCTTCCAGTATGTCATTGTGAATGGAAAATTGATGAAATATGATACTTATTTATTGTTTTGTTTGTCAGGCGATTCAGGAATTCAGTATGATTCGTCCCGGTGACAAGGTGCTGGTGTGTTTGTCTGGCGGGCAGGACTCGGTGGCGCTGTTGCACACCATGCATCACTACCAGTACTACGCACGATCTAAGGGGATACACTTTAGTATCGGTTAGTACATCACTAAAGTTAGGTTAGGGGACCAAAACTTACTCTGCGTTTACACGCGAGTTGTGTTCTTTTGCTATTTTCAAAGTAATGACTTGATTTTTATAAAATTAAAAATTCCTCTGAAACGAATACCGAAGGGCAATTCCGTTTTATGGAAGAATTGTAAGCTCCACCAACTATAATGAGAATTTTGCTTAACCTAGCTTATTTTTATTTTCAAGTTTATTTTTTATACTTTTTAGAATGATTAATTTTCGGAACTATTTTCAAATTTTTAATTTTTATACCATTACATAATTTTAAAATTTCTTTTACTAAAAAAATACATCTTATATGATAGAATAAGAAGCTATTGATAAAAAACTTAAATAAATAAAATTGGCCTATTCGTTTACAAGCTAGGATATTATAAGTACAAAATAATAATAAAAATAACTAGTTAGTCGTGAAAAAATGCCTGTAGTTCCGAAACCACTTATCCAATTTTCATAAAACATGGCTAAAACTACCGCGGGGAATAAGGATTTCGAATAAAACAAGCCGCACTCAAATCAAAATTGGGGTTAAAAAAATAATAGATTTTTATTTTGTTTACTTTAGGCGCATTATATGTACACGAGGACAAATCCGAGATGGACCCCAGATACCTAATGCAATACTGCAGAATGTTGGGTGTCAAGTTCATATATCAAGACAAGATGGATGACGATGACTCTAGAAGTAAGTCGACATACTATTTGGCATTTCTTTTTTTTTTATTACATTCCACAATGTAGTATTAAGATGTTCACAAAAACAAAACTATCAATATGAACTCCGACGGGCACAGCAAATTCGGAGAAGTTTGGATGCTGTGCTTCAAAATATTTGGTCTTTGTCAAATAAACTAAACGCTTAAAAAATCCATTTCGTTCCTGGTACTCGGAGATGAGGACAAATTAGATTTTTAAGAATTTTTCATTAAGAATATTTTGCAGTATATACCCCCAAATTGAAATTAATACAAAATTGATCAAATATAGTTTATGTTTTGAAAACTTACATATTTAATATAATTAAATAGATATTTAAATAAAGAAGCAAAAATCATTTCGAATCGATTTCGTGACGTTTGGGTGTCTAGATTTTCAAATAGTAAATATTTGGTGGGGTGACGACATCTAATGAATGAGGGTAATAAAACAAAAAACGGTGACAAAATTAACGAGTGGCATTTTATAACTTTTCAATAATAATCTCTTACTTGATTTGTCATTTTGTTGGGACTTTCCTCGTATAAACTGAGATAAATTTATGAAAGAATAATTATTATTTTAAATGATAACTACTTAAAGATGTTTTATTAAGTTGTTAATAAAGAAACTAGAAAAGTGGGACATTAATCCATCCAATGGGTACCAAACTTTTCTCTCTATTACTAGACATATTTTTTACTACTAAAAGAAACACATGAAAAATAATAAAAAGTATTTAATGCGACATTTGGACTTACAAACTAAAAATATATATAATTAAGTGATAATATTCCATAAAACAATCCATATGCATGACCCGTTGGCAAAGAATGCGTTGCTTTCTGGAGAATTTTTTTTACGAGCAGCACGTATGATCTGCTTACCATTTGGAGTCTGTTAAAAACGTGGTCTTATTATGACACTGTTGTTTTCAAATGTGCTTTTAATACTTCACATCTTTAACTTTCACATAAGGCTTTTGTATAGGCTTCATCCGATTTTTCGTAAACTGGATTGTGTTCCGTTCAAAACTGTTTGACTTTACTAGATGATGTTTCCTCTGCATTAGCATCATTTGGTACTTCATTGTTGGTTATTGTAGTGTATTGTAGATCAACTTCACCAGAAACCACTTTGAAATTCAAGTTCTTCAAATATATAGATGTCAATATCCTCACAATTTATCAAACTCGTCGAGTCTGAGAGGTAACTGGACAATTTCGAATGGCTCGTGCTTAAATAATGTGCTTCAGTTCAGCTTGTTACAAAGTTAAAAGTCTTAATGAAGTCATATTGCATATAAGAAAATATTTTTCATTTTAGAATACCCACAAATAATTTTAGTCTATCAGTCTAAACGTCATCCACACGGTCGAAAACCAGCGCTTTGATCAAGATGACCTTGGTCGGGCCTCTTTAAAGTCTGATAGAGAAGGAAATATTGAAAATAATAAAAAACATAAGATAGGATATACAAATACCTACTTAGTATAAAGTTTATAATTTTATAACAACATACAGATAGTCGCTAATAAAATATCGGAAAACCAAAATTTTACTAAAATAATTTGATGTCTGATGTTTAACACCACAAAGTAGGTATACAGAGTAGTGATGCGAATAATGAGTTATTTTGTGATTAACTATGAATTATTCGACAAAGTGAGTCCCAAATGAGAACGTTTTTACCTAATGGGTTAACTAAAAAGGCAGGTCTGCCAAGTCGGTCGCCGGTCGTCGGTATAGAAACATGCTACTTCCTTTTAAGTTTGTCATTGGAATGGACCTTAACGCAACGTCACCCTACCGGCCACAGCGTAATAGACAACTTCACGCGTGTGTTTCAGTAATGAACATGTTAAGAATTGTTTTTCAATATAAATTGTTTTTAATTTATTGGCTTCATTGGCTAAGTAGGTGGCGTAGTGGACAAGAGATCGTGGTGTTCGATCATTGTTGTTAAGCAACTTTCGTAAGGGTCGGTCACGAGATGGGCGACCAATGAATAATTATCTCGAGCCACTCCGTGCTTCGGAAGGCACGTTAAGTCGTTGGTCGCGGCTGCTTTTGCAGTCCCTCCAATTTACGTTGTGCCAGCGTGATGGGTCAAGGCTCATTCTCTTTAATCCATAAGGAAGGCCTGAGCAACTGCAGTGGGGACAAAGAGCTAACCGAGTAATGATATCCGTACAGGACGGTCGAGCACAGGTAAGCGGTGCGAGGTCCACCGTTGGTCGGTGCACAGTGTCCGGCGGCGCGTATACTCTGGCGCGGCGGCGCACGGGTACGGCGTGGCGGCGGTGGCGCAGCACCTGGACCACGCCGCGCGCGCCTTCCTGGCCAATGCGCTGCACCAGGGACTGTTGCGGACCGTCAAAGCGCACTATAGAGTACCGTGAGTACTGCCAACTACGAAACTGTCTTCATTAGCAGTGTAATTAATAAACAAGGTTTAGCGTCAGAGTAAATTTTAGTATAGCCTACGAAAACGCCACTTCTGTCATGGCTTCGCTATGACGTCAAGGCCCCCTGAAACTAATAACTAAGTTCTGACAGAGTAAACGCCTGCTTGCGCAGCGCCTGTTTGCGGTCACGTGACAACGAGTATAAAATATTTGATTTTCATAATTAAGTTCAGCAATATTATGAATATATTAAACAAATAAGTGTAATTATCGGTAAGAGTATATTAAAAACAACCAGAAAAAAAAAATATTTTCGTTTACCGTCTACACCCATATTATTTATAAAACCCGCGTATTTTACTAAATGTAATGTAATATAAAAAATTTCATTACAAGGTATTACTCAAACTGAAATATATACCACTCCTTCGTCTTCATGTTCGAGTAGATTAATAAATTACAAATGGGTCGTTATCCAACATATAAACTTTCAAAAACCAGACACATGCGACCGCAAGTCAAGTGCCTCCATTTTTCTTTCCAGGGAACACGATCTCCGCATCATTCGCCCGTTTATCTATGTTCGTGAGCGCGCTCTTCGCGAATTCGGTCGAGTGAAAATGTTGCCCGATTTTCGTACAAGTGACCATTCACTGTTTGATAGTCTTCCTGATGGCTGTAAACATGAACTGTGAGTATTTATTTCATATCCTTCATACACGGTGTTATTTATTTTTTAATTGGGGAACTTTCAAATCATGACATAATTGGGTGATTAAGTACTCTGATTAAGCGAGCCCTGTTCTGTTTTATAATACACGGTAAAACAAAGACTACAAGTTATATTTCCTACTACGGAGCTTGAAACGGATTCGTGGGTGGTCCACTAGTAAATTATTTATAGTAAATAAACAAAATTTGACTGTGGCCCTTGACCTACAACGCTGGCTCAGTATGGATCGGTGGAATGACTACAGATGCAGCAGGAGCTTCAGGCGCAATGAGTGACAGTCATAATTTTTATTTTTTATATACAGCAAAGAAGCATCGCACAAAGACCGTTCCGCGTCTGACCCAAATGACGGGAGGCCATCATCAACAAGTGAACCGCTGGATGAACCGCTTGGTGTAACGTTGCGAGAACCGATTGACTTCGCACGGGGTTTACTTGAGTCACAAGAACGAATCCACCCGTACTTGTTCTCTAGTCTCAAGAATGCTTTGCAGCCTCTTATAAGTGCTAGGTAACACGGATTTATTAAAACTATTCAAATATGCTTGCTCATATATTTTCTTGCCAAATTAGGTTACAATATTTTATAATCTAGAAATTTGAAAATATTCTTAAGCGTCAGTTTTTGAGATAAAAATCATCAACACAAAATATTGGTAAGATAGACAAGCAATGTATAAAAGCTCTATATTACGTAAATGTTTTCACAGAAATATCGAGAAAGATCTGAAAGAGCATCGACATAGGAAGAAATCAGTGATACAAATGAAAAACGGTGCTCCCGTGTACGACTCCGAGGAGGGAACTGACGAAGAGCCAGTGCCATAAAACATCTCCTGCCAGACAGAGAGAGAAATATAAAACTAGGCATTCATGATCGTGACAACAGCCAAATTCAATTCCACTTCTAAACAGAGGCTGATGTGTAGCCTTGGTCACCCTAGGCCATGTAGTACTAAACCGCCACAATTTTAGCTCTCATAAATTAGGCACTTCTTATTAATTTACTTCAAGGAAATTTCAACGTTTATTGAAATGGATTTAAAAACTTTGTTTATGCTGTAACAAAATAAATGTTTTATATAATGATATGCCTACAATAGGCTTATATTGCATCTGACACAACAAACAGTTGTAATAACGAATACTATTGTTTGTTGTGTCTGGTTTTTATATGTATTGTTATAAGGTGTTGTATATGTATTGACTATTTAGGTGTTTGTCTTGGATAAACAAGTGAAGATCCAATTACCAGTAACCAGCATTTCATCATTAAGTTTTTGACACACATTATTTTATGCCATTATTGGTCGCCACTAATGTATGGTCAGCATAGGGCCTGTCATAATGTGATCTTAAGGTTAATCCAGCATAGCCTGTAAATGATGAAGACCTTGTCATTGTCATCAACAAGCTATCAATATTTACACTGTTAGCGTTGCACCCCAGCGTTGACCGTTGGCGCTGTACTCTTACATCAGCGTGGATCAAACACAGTGTGGATTAGACGAGATCATTTGGATTTTCAAATATAGTTTTTGTTGTTAAATAAACTTTCGTCATAAAAATAGTACTGCATTTGGTGATCGAGTCAAACAGCGCGTAAGTGTATGCCCAGCTTTATGAGATATTACAAAATTGACAGCTGTTATAACAACAAAACCAAAGCAAGCTAGCGTTATCAAACTCCATATTTTGATCTAAGTAATCTTGGAAATTCTTTATATTTTTTGTGACGAGAAAAATCTCTATGCTTGTCTTTTTTTGTGGTAATAACATTTGTCAATTTATCTTTCTCAATAATTACTTGTATCTTTTATGTTGTACAGACCAATTTGTGATTACTCAGTGATGTTTTTGTTTGTGATTAAGGTATTAAATTGTTCATTTATGACGATATACGTTATAGTCAAGTATGTCTAGGCGTGTGTATGCAAGTTGTTCGGTTAGTTAAAAGCAAGGGGATTTA